TAATATTCGTTTTTACATTATGCCAGTCTCACTTTGGTTGCCTTAGATTTATTCACCACAATGTACATTGTAATATCCATAAATGCTAACACCTATTAACGGTTTAATTAGCATTTTTATCAATGATTGCATCACATGTAGTCTATGTTTTCAACTTCTTATTATTAGAAACTCATTAACTAGAATTAGTCAGTACAACAAATAAATCAAAATGTACAAATCACAATGAAACGGGTGTTCATCTAGCCACTAAAAAACGAAGGCAAAACAATGGTGTTTATGATGATGGTGGTGATGGTGATGATAGTGTTCATGATGATGATGGTGTTTATGATGATGATGAAGATGATGGTGATGATGATGGTGTTTATGATAACGATGATGAGGATGATGATGGTGTTTATTATAACGATGATGAAGATGATGGTGATGAAGATGTTTATGATAACGATGATGAAGATGATGATGGTGATAATGATAGTGTTTATGATAAAGACGATGAAGATGGTGATGTGATGATTGTGTTTATGATGGTGATGAAGATGGTGTTTATGATAACGATGATGAAGATGGTGATAGTGATGGTGATGATGTTTATGATGATGATGAAGATGGTGTTTATGATAACGATGATGAAGATGATGATGATCCACAGGCGCGCTGGTTCCTGCGGCAGGTGGGACGGTACGAGTCGCTCCTGGGGGACGTGGTAGACGTGCTCTTCATCTCGCTCTTCGCCGCGGTGCGTGTGGGCGTGGGCACGGCCGTGTTCTACTCCCAAATGACCTCGCCGCTGCCCGCCCCCGCCATGAAGGTGGGGGGGGTGCTGATGTACGGGCTGGCCTGGGTCTTCATGGTCGACATCGCTCGCTTCGGGTACAAGAAGAGTCGCACCAAGTATCTGAGGTGGAAGGAGCGGCCAAAGAGCTCCTGACCCGGACTGACCAAAGCTGTTGATTCTCCGAGGCAGATTAGACAATCAAACCTCAAACACATGGAATGTAACGATTACAAACACTTCAATGTTCATCAAGAGTCCTGGGTCTCTGTCCTTAGAGCCTCCTGGATCAGAGGGACTACTGGACCTGGGGCTGGGACCTGGTGTGTCTGCAGGGGCCACACTGAGGGCCGTTCTCATAAAAGAACCAGAGTTTGCTTATTAACCAATAAACAGTTTGTCACAAAACCAGTTTTTAAAATCTCCACAAAGAAGTTTTTACTTCAATGGAAACATCCAGAGATCAGAGGGTCCAGGACCAGGGCGAGGACTGTTCAGTGAAGATGGTGATGTCACACCCACAGACAAGAGGCTGATTTATTAGTGTTGGAAAAACATATTGGGCCTCATTCACGAACAGTTCTTAAAGACCTTATGACGGGTTTGATTTATTTAGAAATACAGTTTTAATACCATTTTATATTAGAAGAGAACTACTAAAGGTTTCAAAATCAGTTGTTGTTTTTTTTGTCTGATCCCCCCCAAATCGAAATAACCCCATAGCAACGCCCTTAGAAACGAAAAAACTTCACAGCCCTTGGTGACGTCAGAACGGGTACGTTTCAACGCTGTAAGTTGTTTACAATTTGGTATTCGTTCTTTTTTCGCGGATATTCAAGATGACAAGGCCGTGTACAGCGAGTCTGAAATAACTACTAGAATGTCACATTTCGTTGTCACTGAGATAGTCCAGTGGTTGTGTCGATGGACTGCCAATCTAGATACTTGGATTCAAATCCCACCTCGGACACTTTTTCACACTCAAAACGGCAATTTATGTGTAGTGAGCAATTGTCACCTGTAGAGTGCAGTATTGTGTTGGGCATCAGTGGAGAGAAGAGAGAAAAGGCAGTCCTGTGGCATAGATCCATGGTTTTCAATGCATGGGCGTTACCCACTGTGACGTCACACACAGGTTAGAGCATAGACAACTTAAATTCATGAAAAACACCTTCTTTTTATAAAATATAGGATTTTTTTTGCCGGAATCTCTTTCAAATTGACATTGTCATGCAATTTTGATATCCACTATTTAAAAAAAAAAAAAACCCGTCATAAGGTCTTTAAGAACAGATTTGTACGTAAATCCTACTTACGAGGTTTTTACGAAGAAAGTGGCATTCACAAATTTTTCTCGTAACCAGAATTTCTCTTGGGAAAGTACAAATCCTACGAGTCCTCAGGAGCACTCGTACGCATTCAGTGCCGACATGTTCACACGCCGGGGTTGTCCTCTTTGGTGAAGTTTAATAAAAATACAACATTCCAGTGATATGTCCGTCATATTGATGTATGTATTTAATCTATTATTTCATTTTTGTGGTTACATATTATTTTTCATATTCATTTTCAAATTAAATGTGCCAACGCTTTTCAAAATACATTGGAAATCTTGCCGTGTATTAGTGACCCCTTCCTATTTATAGGGGGCATTTCTTTATTCACGGGCCACAGAACAACGGCATATATACTGCTGCTGCAGGAGGTTACGGGGTCCGCGCTGAGTCTCTGCGCTGGTCTCTCCTATGGATCTATATGGGTCTGCACTGGTCTCTCCCATGGATCTATACGGGTCTGCACTGGTCTCTCCCATGGCTCTAGACGGGTCTGCACTGGTCTCTCCATACGGGTCCGCGCTGGTCTCTCAAGTCTGGTCTATGCTGTCTCTCTTCGGTCCGCGCTGGTCTCTGCGCACCGGCCTCTCCAGTCAGGTCACTCCAGTCTATGCGGTCTCTCCTGTCCGCGCTGGTTTCTGTGTGCTGGTCACTCCAGTCTCTCCTCGGGTCTGCATTGGTCTCAGCGCTGGTCCGTGCTGGATCTCCTCCCAGGGTCCAAAATATTTTGAGATTAATCTCAAAACATTTTAAGATTCATCTTTAAAATAAAATATATTTTTAAATTAAGCTCATAACATTTTGAGATTAATCTCATCATATTCTTAGATTAACCTCATAATTTTGCTAGTTCGACTTTATTCTCATAATATTTCGACTTTTAAGTCAACATTTTATAACTTTATTCTCAGTCTGGCAAAAGAAGAAAAAAGGGTGACTCTTTTGCTCCGTGTAACTCTTTGCTTTAGGCCTGTTGCCGTTTCCTCTGGCGTCTGCACACGGCCCTGCAGTCCCTTATATGGGCATTAGTGGGCGGTTACCTATGCTAAGTACCTATGCTAATGAATCACCGGGCACGCGCGCTCTACTTACGAGGAGTTGGCATTCATCAATCTGAGAGAACAGCTGCGAACAATTCAGCGGCTTAGGAGCGCGTTGATGAATCCCACGTACTGTAGGCTCTTCTTAGAAATCTACTTAAAGAAGCTATACCCGATTTTTTTTCTAAGTAGTTCATAAAAATGCTTTTTACTACATACAAGTTGTATCATAATACATAATTTAATTGAAAACTTGAGGTCATTGATTCCACTGTGTATGAAATTCAGGCCGTGAAAAGTGCTGAGTAGAGTCTGAGCGGGACGCTCGTTCTCCTCCGCTCACAGAACAAGAAGCGACCAGCCTGCGTCCTCTAGCCCCTACAGCGCTGCTTAACACCAGGGCTTCAACTTCAAAATTCGAATATAATTCTAAAATAAAAAATATATACATATTTGAACAAATATTAGACCACCCTTATAATTAGAAAGGTATTTAATGACTGCAAATAAAATAGTTAGCTCCCAAAGGTTTCACAGGGACGTGCTAGGCAGGTAACAGCTAAGCTAGCTAGCTGTTTCATGGTAACTTCCGGGTTTTTCGCGATCGCTTTTTGTCACTTTAAAACAGTAATTTTGTCATGAAAACGTTGACAGCAAATTCTGAAATCGTCCGTGCATGTGTGTTAAGGATGTATATGTGTACTGTATTGTCCGATTGACGTTTAATGGTGTTGATTGATAGATATGTAGTTGTTTATTGAGCGTGGCTAGCTCCGCTAGCTTCTCTACACAGACAAGTGTGCAGAGAAACTGCACAGTGTAGTGACAGGCGCTGATAGCTTGTTGTACTTGCAGAGTAATGGCAGTATTTTACACACCTGAATTACAAACAGAGATTGCATTGGGGCTGCGGTCATTATAGAGGGATCCTACGGTCACGTGACTAGCAGCCACGGCAGCCATACTGGAGGACAACCTCGGCGAGTAACAGCCCTGCTAGCTATCTATAACTGGACGTTCAAAACTAGAACTCTCTCGAACTACATGAAAACTGAACAGAGAATTTGAAACTTCTGCAGTTAGTGACCCAAATATATACTCAACCTAAATTCATGAATCAGATCCTCTGAAAATGCATCCTAAAATGTATTCGTTACATCCAGGTTTACCGCGGTCGCATATTGTCGCATTAAAACAGTGTTTTTTCATGAAAACGTGAACAGAAAATTCTGAAAACCTCTGTGCACGTATATTAAGAATGTATATGTATAATGTATTCTCCGATTAACATTTAATGTGTTTTTTGTTACACCATGGATCTATGTGTGGCTACACTGCAGTGGAAATAATGAGATTACATTCAAATCAATGGAGCTTTCTGCGTCTACTGTGAGGAGCTGTATATTTTATTAATAAATACTAGTACGGGGCACCCTCGAGCACGGCTCAGTCGTTCACATGTCTGCTGGCCTTCGTCAGATACCCTGTGAACCGGGTCAGGTCCTGTGTGAGACCAAATATATAACAGCTATGCTAAGCTACAGTCTATGGAGCAACCCCACGTTGCAGTCAGACAGATATGTTTTATCCTTAAACTTCTGTTTGTTTTGGAATAACACTAAATCCGCCATCAAATTGATTTCACTTAGCAGAAATGAAATGATCCATATTCGGGCGCTCTGGGGGCTATTAGTTTTTTGTTGTTGCGTATGGTTGTGCCATTTCTCTCTCGTTTCTTTGAGATGTCTTCTGTTTTTGAGCCGTGTGAAGTAAGGACGGCTGGCAGTCGGTAACACAACTTATTTTCCCTGTCTCTCCTTTTGCTGCAGCCAAAAACGGCAAAAATGTTGAACATGTTTATGCGGTCCCGGGTGCACGCCACTATCATACAGCGTTTGCTTGTCCTCCAGTATGGCGGATGCCCCGCGAGGTCGAGGCATCGTGACGTCACGTGAGATATCTCTATTGATTTGAGAGTTCTGTTATCAAGAAAAAATGATCGGAAGAATTGCATTCAAGTCAATGGAGTGTTCTACTGCTGCTGTGAAGAGCTGTATAATAAATTATAATTAAATATTAGAATATATTCTAATGTTTAAATTAATACATCCGGACGCGAAACTAATGGTATTCTTTTACTTATATATTGTGTTAGCAGTGCATTGCTTTAGTACCATTTCATCAGTGATTGTTGCACAGCTTACAAGTTGCGCTAATGCTAATGTTAGCATACATATCAGATCGCAAATAAAACTAGGTGGCTCCGTGTTATGAGAGCGTAGGGGAAATGAGAAGGCTGTGAGCGAGTTGGGGGGCGGTGCTAAACATTCAAACATTGCAGAAACGGGTATAGCGCCTTTAAGAATGACTTGAGAAGAAATTTAAGAAGTTTCTTACGAAGTTATTCGTGAATGAGGCCCATTGTGCTCAGTATCGTGATATTTGAAACACACAATTAAATTGATACAGTAGCAAAGTTTCTCTTTGGTGTTTTCTCTGAGTTTACTCTAATTTACATCTGTGTATCACATCCACAAGGGGGCGCTGGTCGCAGTGGTTTGTCTTTGTGCATTCAACAGGAAGTTCATGTACGGACAATAATGACATCACAGTCACAGCTGGTTCATGTATAGACCATAAAAAGTATCATAGACATCTGAACTAAACACGCCCAAACACTGCAAAAATGTGTTTATTCAAAAGTATCGTAATATTTGGCCCAATTGTAAACATATCACACTACAGACAGTATGTGATTCTGAACATTACACGATACAGACAG